TAGTGTTGAAGGGGCGCCCGTGCTCTCTCTTGCCCTCTCCTGCCACGGCTAGATCTAGGAGACCCGGGTTCAAGTCTCTGACTCTGCCACGGGGAAGCCTGCTGGGTGGCCTGGGGCCCGCCACGCCCTTTCAGCCTGGCCTGCCTCGGGGGTGGGTGGGGGTGGTTGGGGGTGAGGCTCAGGTGGAGGAGAGGAGGAGAAGGAAAGGCGCTCTGGGTGGGCCCCGGCGGCTGGGGAGAAAGGCGGCCTCTAAGGGAAGTTAACGTTGGTCGTGGGGAGAAATGAGGAGGAACTTGTCCTCCCGCTGTCCTCTGCCGCCTCCTCCCTGGAGGAAGGCCTCCCCCCAGCCCCTCTTGCCCTGCGATGGGGGGCCGTGGGTCGGTGCCTCTCTGGTCTGCGGCTCACGGGTGTGAGAGGACAGCCCAGCCACCCGCCTGGAGAGAGATGTCTGTCTTGGCCTTTAGGAGTCAACCTCTTTTGTCGCAAACTTATTCAGTGGGCGCCTGGTCCCCGGAAACATCTTCCCTTTCCCCTCAGGTAGGGAGAGGCCACCCTCACTGGCCGTGCTGGAGGGAAAGGATGGGAGCCCGAGGAGGGGGAGGGAGGGAGGTGGGTCCCCTCTGACCGGCCGGCCTGTCTGTCCCCTCCCCCCCCCCACAGCCCTCTCTCCGGAACAGGCCCAGTCCCTGGAGGCCATGGTGGAGCCCTGCGCCCGCTTCTTCCAGGTGAGCCCCCGCGGGGGGGGGGAGGAAGAGGACAGAAGCCCTGGCAGGCATCCGGGGAGGAGGAGGGCCAGGCGGGGGCCTCTCTCAAGAAAGGCACGCCTCAGATGGTTTTATCAATAAGAGGGGGGGGGGTTACAATGGGAGTGATGAAAGGGAAGTCAGTTTTCGGGCATGCTTTGTTCAGTTTCTCTCTCTTTGGCAAGCCTTTATTGGCACATGTACATACATACGATAGGAGATCAAATTAAATACAGATCGGGAAATACAAATCCATACCGGGGGTAAAATTGGAGCTACGACACAGAAAAACAGAACAAAAGCATAAAAACCTAGTGGTTAATATTACTTATTAGGACGTATAGCCATAGCACTAGGAAGAAACCTTGCTACTATTTCAGTTATTTCCGTATCTCGGTTATCAAGCAAAAAAAGAACCTTAAAACCATAAGGAATCTCTGAAAACTGAGCTGATATAGGGTACAGAATCAGTTTCTAACCAGTGTTCCCTCTAAGCTGAGTTAGTGTGACCTAGCTCACAGTTTTTTAGCCTCTGGCTCACACATTTGTGTCTTAGCTCAGGAAAGGATGGGGCTCCAGAGCAATCTCATCTATGCAGCAGCCAGAGTGCTCGCTCACAACTTGAATGCCAGTGTAGCTCACAAAGCAGAATTTTTGCTCACAGGACTCCACAGCTTAGCGGGAGCATTGCTTCTAACCTATCCAGATTCCACTTTTGAACACTGGACTCAGCTCTTGTGGATCATTTCAGGCCCTGGGGGTCCTGTCCCCCCTCCCAAATTCCTAAAACACCCAGTTGTGTTTGTCACCAATGGGGCCAAAGACTATTGTAGGAGACTCTCTGGGTCAGGTCTTTGTCGGCAAGAGGGGGGGGGTTTCCTCAGCCAGCCCCCCCAGTCTGCTTTATGACAAACCCCACCCCCGCAAGAGGGAGGCTGCCTGGGAACGCCCCTCTGCTTTGCTTGTCTCCTGAAACCGCGGGCAGGAGGTGAACGACGCTGCTGCCAACGAGGAGCTGGGGGGCATCGAGGAGCCCACCCTGGCCGGCCTGAAGGAGATGGGCTGCTTTGGCCTGCAAGTGCCGGAAGAGCTGGGGGGTGTCGGGCTGAGCAACACACAGGTGAGGCTTGCGGTGGGGGGTGTGTGGGGGCGTGGGAGGGGGGAGCTCTGGCCCTCGGAGCGC